TAATATAAATTATGTAAAATAAAAGTACTAAGTTGTAGTGTTCATTGATGAGATCCTACTCTAAATAATGCTGAACCACATATTAAAAATTTCCAAAAATAATTTTAATTTCTTATTTGACTTTTTCTCCACTTTTGTTTTAATTTTACAACTGTAACTCAAAACCACGATAATGCAGTGCTAAATATCATTTGCCATTATTTCTGTTTGAAGCATATTACAGTTCATTTAATTAAAAAAGTTATGTATGTTAAATCATAACTTTAAATAAATTCTAAGATCAAGTAATATTAAATGAACAGTAGCAAATTTCTTCACAATATTAAGAATTACTTCTTTGTTTATTATCATTACTATTGTTTAAATTAGTATTTAACATTTCCTTAAAACTAACCCTAAGACTTTAGCTCTTAATTAGATTTCTGTACGGTAGAGAGCTGTATAACCTATTACCAATCGTATAGTTAACTGTTATAACAGATGACAACATGCCAAGGAAATTCTGTGCAGACTTTATAGTTCTGACAGTGGCAGTGATTACCAAGTAAAGAATTTAAGAACAGCGTAGAAGAAACTGTTGTTTTTAGGTGCCCTTGAGTTGGCTCCAACTCATAATGAATTGGTGTTACATACAGCAGAACAAAATGTTGCCCAGTCCTGTGCCATTCGCACGATTGTAGGTATGAGTGGGTCCACTGTTGCAGCTACTGTGTCAATCCATCTTGTTCACGGTCTTTCTGACTTGTTCAGGGTCTTTTTGCTGACTTTCCACTTTACCAAGCATGATATCGTTCTCCAGGGATTGGGGCTTCCTGAGAGCTTGTCCAGAGTAAGCAAGATGAAGTCTCATTATCCCCTCTTCTAAGGAGCATTCTGGCTGTACTTCCTTCAAGACAGATTTGTTAGTTCTTCTGGCAGTTTATGGTATAGTCAATATTCTTTGCCAATCCCATAATTGAAATGTGTCGGTTCTTCTTCCATCTTCCTTTTTTATTGTCCAGCTTTTCCATGCATATGTTGTTATTGTTGTAGTATGCCATTGAGTCAATATGGACTCATAGCAACCCCATATGACAGAGTGAAACTGCCTCATAGGGTTTTCTAGACTGTAATCTTTATGGGAGCAGATCACCAAGTCTTTTCTTTTGCAGAGCTGCTGGTGTGTTTTAACCGCCGACCTTTCTGTTAGCAGCCGAGCACTTAACCACTGTGCCACCAAGCTACTGAAAATACCATGGTTTGGATCAGGTACACCTTAGTCATCAAAGTAACATCTTTGCTTTTTAAGATTTAAAGAGGTCTTTGGAGCGATATGCCTAATACAATACGTTGTTTGATTTCCGACTGTTTCTCCTACGGGCATTAATTATTGATCCAAGTAAAA